TACCAATACGCCAAATTTCAGCTGAATAGCTCTAAAAATGGCAGAGTTATCGTTTTTTTTTTTCTTTTAGCTAAGGTGGCCATCTTGGATATTTGATTTGCATTAGGAATATATAACAACTCGCTCTCAGCTACAACCAAACCAAGTTTCAGCTCAATATCTCAAAGAATGACTGAGTTATAGTCAATTTTGTGTTTGCTGAGATAGCTGTGGCAGCCATATTGAATCAAAATGGCTCCAAACATTAATAAGTTCTAGAGATACATGTGATGATTAATTTTTGTGAGTTTCAAACAAATCCAACAGTGACTTTGTGTTTTCTGCAGGGACCTCTACACTCAAGTCACTTCAGAGCTGCGGTTAGTGTGGGGAGCGCTCTACCAGGCGTTTTATACAGGGGGAAAACGGCGTCTTTGTTAGCAAATTTCATCGCCATGGTAACTCGAAACGTCAACAAAAGTAACAGCACACATCACGTGACTGAGCCGGTCGTTTGGATATAAGATTTGTGGGTGTATACGTTGTGGTTCGCATTAAAGTAACCAATAAACAGGTGCAATAAGCTGGTTGCATAAATGTGCACACCCCCTTTAAAAGTCACCCTACAGGCTTCCTATCACATTTCAGTCTAGACTCTGGTTCAGTCATTCCAAAACCAAATGTTTTATTTATTTCTTTACATTTTTTTCTGGTGAAGCCATTCTTCTGTTGCTCCGCATGTCTGCCTGTACACGTTGCTATGTAGAAAACCGAAACTCCTCTTCCTCGTCAGAATCCTCCGCTCAAGCTTCAAAGGTGAAAAATAGACAAGTATCGGGAGCTGTTCAGTCCAATCGCTTACTCCAAAACTCCAGCTGCAGCTGAAATGAGGAACCCCACAGCATGATGCTTCCACCGCCAGCAGCATCACACCACGATGGCGTTCTCTTGGTGATCTATACCGTTTGAAACTGTGGCCAAACAATCCAACCTTGGGTCCATCGTAGCGCACATGCTTCCACATGCTTTATATTTTTTCCCTCGACGTTTAGCCGTGCCTGGATGTTTTTCCGTTATAAGAAAAGGCTTTCCTCCTCCACAGACAGGACGCCTGGAGGGAGGAGTCAGGAGATTGTTGTCACATGTAGTACCTGTCAGCGCCTCCTGTAGCTCCTTCAGTGTTGCTGCAGACCTCGTGGCAGCTTTCATCACCACTGTCCACTTCGCCTTTTCTTTGGCTTGAAACGTCTAGTTCCCTGTCAAACTGGTGTACTTTATTAATGGACATTTAAAAAAAAAAAATTGGTTATTTATTGCTGAGATTTTCTTGTAACCTTCTCCTGACTGAGTCCTTTGATCCCACTGATGCTTTGTGAACCATGGATTTTGCCGCAGGATGCAACTAAAGTTTCTTTCAGCGCAGGGGTTGCTACAGAGAGCAAACTCGCATGAACCATTTGACATTTTAACACCAGATGCCCTTCATGACGCAGCCTGGACTTCAACCCGCAACCTCAGACTTACAAGACTGACAAAAAGCGACACCAGCCATTGCAGTAAGATGCAACCACTGTAAGTAAATCCTTTCCGAACAGATGGATTTGATTCCAAGTTGATCAGAATCTCTTTAATTGACAGCAGGCGAGTTCCCAAATAGACTGAAGTCTGTAAATAAATCAAAAAGTGCTTCAACAAACTATTAGTCTAAGAGTGTGAACATTCGTGCAACCAGCTTTGCGCATCTTTTTATACGCTCATTGAAACACAGAGGATTTACGGTCTCCATCTATTGTATTTTTCGGATTATAAAATGCACTTAAAATCCTTTAATTTTCTCAAAAATCAACAGTAAGCCTTATAATCCGGTGTGCCTTATGTATTCATTCTGGCTGTACTTACTGACCTCGAACCGATTTTATGTGGTTATTGTGAATGAGTTGAATAAAGTTTGACTTATCTGACTGTTTTCTTTCGCTTAATGCGCCTTATAGTCCAAAAAACACGGTATTCATTTGTCAACGTTCTCGTTTCGTCCATAACTTCTGATCTGCTCAAGATAAATTAATGAAACATGTTACACAATTGTACTATATATGGCATGTTGCATACAATTTTCATCCCCCCAACGCTAAGGTCAAGGTCATAAATCAAGGTCAAATGTTATGCAAGTCCTTTGCTTATCCGTGCGATTGCTATATTTGGACTGTTGTATAATAGTTTGATTGACAGGCGTATAATGTGCCTTATGCCAAACTTTTGTTTTAATAGATTTTTCCCTTAGTATGTTTTTGAAAACTTGAATCACACACGATGTATGTCACAATAAAAGTACAAAACAATTTGAAATGATTTATCGTGGTTTCTTTTTTTATATCACAAAAAGCTGTTGTTTAAACAAGGGTGTGCAGATGTTTTATGTCAACTGTGATTATGACAATAAAAAAAAAAGCATCATTTGCTGGTTTTCTTCTACACGCCAAATTTTGCATACGTTAATATTTTCAGTTCAAATGTGTGACAAGGACGTCTCTGTGCCCACAAAACTGAAAGCAGATTTAAGCACCGCATCATGTGGCTTAAAGAGAAATGTCAGCAAAGAACCTCTTAGATTGGATTTGTTTTACTACGTCTGACATGTCAGAGCTTTCATAAAAATCTGAATCTGCCATGTCTATTTGCAACATGTGAGATATTGATCCTTTGTATCACCAGAGTCAAAATTTTACCTGTTGTATCATAGATAGCTCTTTGAACTAGCTCAGTTTGGATAGAGTTTACTGTAATTTCCGGACTATAAGCCACTACTTTATTCACAGGTTTTGAACACCGGGGCTTCTACAATGCTGCGGCTAATTTATTGATTTTTTTTTTTTTTTTTGACGGGCTAATTAGCTTCATGTCACCAAAACATTTAAGCCTCGTCACATCCTGATGCTCACATTGCTGCCCAATACACGTCTCTCTTGGGGGGTGGGTCCTCGTAACTCAATGAGACTACCTGTACAAATAAAGGTTAATAAAAAATGACCAATGAAATTACGGAACAGGTCACAGTGTGGAGGAGAGGGGAAACTTCATCTACCGCCCTCTCCGTTCTCTCCTCCCCTCCCTGCAGGAGTTCCCCCCCTTGTTGTACACAACAAAGTATTTGCAGCGACTCGAAATATTTGTGAATCGTAAATCAAATGAAATTGCTAATTTGCCTCGAGACGACAGTGACGCTGAGAGCGACAATGAAAGAGAGACTGAGGACGTGTGTGATGAAGTTTTTCTGAGGCTGTTCAGTTCTGACACTGAAGAAGACGACTTTAGTGGTTTTAGTGCACAGGAGGAAGATGAAGACAGCGATCAAAGACTTTTCCTGCTAGTCTACTGTATATTATTTTTTTAACCGGCCATGTTACAGGAACTGTTCAGAAAATAACACCTACGGCTTATATACGTATTATTTTCTTTTTAAATTTAGTAGGCGTGGCTTATATTCAAGTGCGCTCAATAGTCTGGAAATTACAGTAATTCTGAATGGATTGATGAGCTTAAGGCTAGTCCCAATGTGGCTAAAATCAAAATGGATCTGTTGTCTCAAAACACAAATTTCATAACGGCTCGTGCAAAATGTTTTCTACAAACCTTCACCCCTTTGTTCAGGATTGTTCTGGCAGAAAAATGAAATGTACGCCAGAAGTGCTACAGCTGGCTGCTGCTGCTATTTGTACACACAAATAATTATGGGACTTCACGTCATTTACTGTGTGATCAACAACAACAACAACAAAAACCTGCCATACAATTTTTTTGTAAGTTAGCAGCCATAATAAATTTAGCAAAATATTTAAGATTGATTATTTTTACAAATGGCAGCGACTCACGTTGGTCTTGATTCCACTCTGACTAGTCTTTAGCTCATCAGTCGGATCAGATTTAAGCTAGTTTCTCTCTGGGCATCGACAGTCAGAGACTAGAATAAACAAATAATTGCTTGTTGTCATTTCAGATGTGCGCAACAGTAGATTAAATCAAAAACGTGGAGGTTGAGAGCCAAAGCACGTTTGATGTGGGTTGAGATAGACGTGCACATAAAATTTAGTTACGACTTTTAAAAAGCTGGGTGTGCAAAAATAGCTTCACTCTAGCTAGTCTCAAACATTTAATTGCAACAGAAAATATGCGTATTTATTTGCAAATTTAAGCCACCAAGACGTTGAGAGCAGTTGCAGCCCAGTGAGATACAACCCTTATACTCCATTGCTTCAAAATGAGGCCATTCAAACGACTATCTGCAACAGGTAAGATGATTGTTTATAACCATTTCCTCATAAACCCACTTCAAAACGTGTGAACTATCTGAACCAGCAGATCGTAATGATTAGAGATTAATTCAGGCAGAAACCGATCGTGTCGTTATCCGAACACCAAAAGGCAACATTAATTCAGGGCACACAATCAGAATCAGAAGAAAAGCCCAGCAGAGCCGCACGTTCTGGTCAGGATCCATCTGGGTTTCTTGACATTTCAACTTTTCTGACTGTGCTTTCAGTTTACACAGCCGTATAATGAATCTGATTTAAAAGCAACCAGAGTTTAATCATTTAGGTCAGGGCTATTCAACTGGCGGCCCAGGGGCCAAATCAGGCCCACGGGTGAGCTCAGTTCAGCACCAATGGGTTCATTTTTAAATAAAACTAGATTTTCAACCATAAAAACAAACTTACTTTTAATATGAGCTCTTAACTTGCAGGAACTGTGCCCCCCTTGAGCAGTTTAGTTGAATAGCTCTGATTTAGATGCTTCACTTTCGTCTAGCTGTAACAAACATGGAGGCTGAATGTTGCAGTAAAATTATAGGAATGCTTGTCATTTTTGACTAGAAAGTTTTAGTTGAGACCCTGCACCTACACCCGTGTAGGTCCAACAGAGAAGAAGAGTGTGCTAACATGTGAATATATAAAGCCTTACACAACAAACACGTACATCACTACTGTTACTGCATGATGACTGTGATTCTGTTTTTGTCCTTTATTTGCTCGTGTTGGACTGAAATGTGCATTTTTACTCCATCAATCCAAACAGTCTTTTTTAAAAAAGTGTTTCTTTTCATTTTTCTGCTTTAACCTGTGATGCACTGAAGAGGAGTCAAAAGTGTGCACACGTCGGCCTTAAAGGGTTAGAGGGAACTTGAGATTGTTTCTGATGAAGACAGTAACCTGGGGAAGTCTTTTTGTTTTAAACACCTGACCTTTGGCAGCAGGGACACACTCAGGTGCAGCAGGTTTTCCTTCATGCTCCTCTTCCCTGTCCTCCCCCGTCATCATACCACAGTTTCAGAGCTCGACCCTTTCCCTGTGAAGAAATCCCAGAAGTTGGACGCCTTGCCCTCCTCCTGCGGCGTCTGTCTCACCCAGACGCTGCTGCTCTCCGTGGAGCCGCTCAGGCTGGCGCAGCTCCCTGCGCCGCTGCCACCGCCGCCCAAACCCAAGCTCAGAGCGGAGCCCAGTGTGACCCGGCGGTCCTGGGAGTCCGCGTCCTGACCGTGGAGTCTAGAGGAGGAGGAGGGGTTGGCCAGGCTGAGCAGGTTGTGGTGGGAGTGAAAGTGACGCATGTGGTGGATGGATTTCCTGGGATGCACCTCACCTGGAAAAAGAACAGGACAGGTGTCAAATCAGTCTCTTCTTATGGCCTCTTTGTTCAAATGATGCATGCAATTAAAGGCCTAGCTTATGGAATGCATATCGCCCACCACAACCTTTCATATCAGAGCTGCAAATTAAATGAATTTATGTTGAATTGTTTTTGTTGCGTCATTCTGTTTTGGTCAACTCTTGAAAATAACTTTATGCACAGCCCCATCTTGCTTGATTTGTTAGCACTTACAGTACATAACGTGTTGGGGATGACTCTCGGCTACTACCACGCTTCGTTTTAGCTCAGTATCTGCTAAGGTGACAGAGTTAAAGGCATTTTTGCGTTTGCCAAGGCTGTTTATCTGTGGCGGTCTTCTTAAATTAGGTAAAAAGTTAATTAGTTCCAGATGTTCATCCAAATTATTCCTTTATGAAAGTTTCTTTAAAATCTGTCCCGTTGTTTATGAGATTCTGCTCAAAGACAAACACATGCACACAAAGAGAGACACACACACACAAAGGCTGGTGATGAATAGTTAAAGGTGCTCACGCAACCCTATAGGCAAAAAATGTAAATTTTCCAGTCACATGTTTCTGATTCATCTGCTTCTCATGTCATGTTTTTGTCCCATTTCCACCGCAGCCGGTCATGTTTCATTTGTTTTTCCCTGCCATGTGTTTTCAGCTCATGTCACTCTGCACCACGCCTCCTCTGCCCTGCCACTGCAGGCAGCCTCATCCACCGCACCTGTTCACTCCCTTCTTAAGCTCTCTGTTCACCCTCATTCAGCGCCAGATTCTCAAACCTCATCCAGTGGCAGAAATCCAGCATCCCTTGTTTTGGACTCTTGCCTTGACCACGAACCTCTGCCTGGCTGTTGACTCCTCACCCTGTCTTGCCCTTTCAGGATGTGTCTGCACATCTAACCACGGTAATGACCCTCACTCCCTCTTGACTACTCTTTTGATCACGTTTTGGCTCTGGCTTCTCCTCTCTGCTCACCCGTGCTTGAACCTGGCTACGTCTACCGGACCACAAACATGGATTCTCCTTTCTGGACTCTAAACAAGCCTGGACCACTCCGCTGCTGCAGTTCTTTCTCCCTGAGTGAGGTCACTGGCAACAGCGAGACTACAGCTCAAGTCAAACCATCAAGACAGAAGGTTAGTGTTAACGTCAGAATCTTTCAACGTCTCCTCCAAGAACCAGTCCACTGACTCTTCTGTCTTGATAGATCGGACCGGCCTCAGGATCCAGACCTTGACCAGAAGTGGCATGTTTTCAGTAAACATACTGAAACCATTCCTGTGTTCTGGTGTTGTGTTGATCCAAAACCACATCTTGTCATCTCACTGTACTATAAAAATCCATACAAAAACTATACTAAAATGTGTAGCACAAGCAGGGATAGTACACTTCTTTAACTTTAGGTTGCAAACTATTGTTCAGTGTTAACAATATAAACATCTACAGTACAACAAACTACAGCTCTACTTCACAGGTACATCCAGGCCCGTGTCTAAACTAAGGTTCTGGAGACCTTGGTGTGTGAAGTGAGAATTTTTATTTTAATAGCCAATAACATTTTATCAAACTTTTAATCAGGTTTTAGGAAAAGGCACAGCACTACAACAGCAGCCTTAAAAGTAGTTAATGACATTTATTGTGTTTTAGATCACTTTTAATGGACCTGTCAAAAGCCTTCAACACTGTCGATCATATCAGGACGCAAAGGCTTTTGAATACAGAACTATCAAAACGATCAGGTGATTGGTTAGACAATTACTTGACAAACAAGTTCTGGCTTTTGTTAGTTCCCACAGGCCGTAGATCAGGGGTCTGCAACCTTTACGATCAAAAGAGCCATTTTACGCCTTCGTTCACTAAACGAAAAGTGATCAGAGCCGCAACAACCTGCTACAACTGTGATTATCAACTGGTGGCCCATGGGCCACTTTAGGTTTGTTGGAGGAGACTTTTGTGGCCATTAGGGGTGACATTATAAAGTTAAAAATATCTAATAATATATATTTTTACAATTTAAGACAAATAAAGACCAGATTCCTGTAAGGGGGTGGGGGGTGGGTGTGTGTGTGTGTGTGTGGGGGGGAGTTTTCTAATTAATAAAAACTATGAACTATGCAGAGCTATGTATTTTTTTAATTGTGGAAAAAATAATTAAGTATAGAAAAAAAAAGTATAAAGTTAAAGTGAATATGTTTTACTCTTTGTACATGTTCCAATATTCACATATTTGCAAAAGGAATGACAGGGAAACTGCTAAAACTAGTCCTTTTTGTCGTTTGTATAACACCCAATAAAATTCAGTTTTACGTTAGTGTTGATCAAAGCATGAAAGAGTCGCTGCAGAGGAACCAAAGAGCCACATGCGGCTCCAGAGGTGCAGGTAGCAGACCCCTGCCGTAGACTGAGGAATTCCACTGGATGGGAGATGAAACGCTTCTCACTTATTTATTTATATCTACACACACACACACACACACACACACACACACACACACACACACA